TGCTATATCGACTGGAGTAAGATCCAGGACTGTGTGGGAATTGGAGATAATGTTTACCAGACGGAAGGAAGAACCCGGATCAAGGTAACTCTCGCTGGATCACTGGTATATTTTTTCGATATCTGGGTGGGTGATCTGACTGGCCAACAAGCTATAATTGGCATGTACTTCATGGTTCCAGCCGGTATCCGCCTAGATCTAGCCCATGGATCGATCAGTTTACCGGATGAAGTCCGGATCCAGCTTAGCGGGAGGCGGCAGCATTATAGCGACAAGGCGAAGATCGTCAACGTCGGCCAATATCTTCGGATCCAAGCAGGAGAGTCGGTGGAACTACCATTGCGCCTGAGGTCGTCGATCCACGACAAGCTGTGGGTCACGCGTGGAGATCACTAGGTGCCGACAATATCCGGTGGACCAGGCAGGACGAAATATATCTCGATCACCAACATCGGGGATGAGGTGTTGATCCTGCATCAAGACCAACGGATCGGGATCTGGCTGGCCGGAGATCATGTGCCACCCTTTATCTCGATCGGCTCTCGTCGTTACATGGGGTGGCAGAATCTAGCGTTGGAAGCGACAACAGACACCCGATCTGAAGGAATAGAGGCCAAGATTCCACTGGTCCCTGTGGTGGAGCGGCCCGAGTATGAGACTCCACGCATGATACTCCCAATACCGAGGACGACGTTGATCCAGCGTCGGAAGGCCGAGGCGAGCCAGGATCAAGATATTCCTGACTGCTCACCCTCGGACGAATCACCGTCGGACAAGTCGCCGTCGGACAAATCGCCGTCGGAAATTCGACCGTAGGATCTTGCGCCTGTCGCAAGCGAGGAGTCGAATCAGTCGTCTATTGCAGATGAAGACTCTATATCGCATTCCGTAACGGTCAAGGGGGGGGCTAGAAGATCTCGATCAAGCGACGACAGACATGTGGGGGACTAACCCGCCGTTGGAGGAAACTACAGACGTGGCGGGAACGCGAGAAGAGGATGATCGATATGGAAATGGGGTTGTCAGTCAGGATCAACTACACTCGAGAGGTCAAGATCTAGGAACATCACCGTCAAATTGCGGCGGACTGGATCCGCCATCAATGATGAGTGTACAACCTGGGACAGGACATGTGACCGGTGATCCATTGAATGACAAGTGCGCCACATCTATGTCGCAAAAAACAGACATGGATCCATTACCTGTTGTTGAAGATCAACCAGGCACATCGGATCTGGACCTTACCTGGGACTCAGATCAAGATTATGATGAATGTGTGTATTACCATGAAGGAAGTGATCTATACGCCGAAGACGTCGATGGTCAGATGGCGGTACTGCCGGAAGTACCTGTAACGACGGAGGATGTGGAAGATCGAGGACATTCAGCTTTGTGGATCTGATAATCAGACCCCAAATAAAATTGACCGACTTCGCCAAAAGATCTGGAAGTTCCGACATCTCTTGATCAGCAAGGGAAATGCCCTTCCACCGGCGGCTAGAAGTATGTCGACGTCGGGGGAGCGAGACCTATCGCCCTCAAGTGTCGTAAGCTGCGGATCCAGTTCAGGGAGAAGCTGGCGGAATTGATCAAGGGTCTATTGCCTGCCAAGATGATCAATTACTCTAGATCACCATGGGCTTCCCCGATCGTGGTTATCATTAAGAAGAACGGGGTAGATATCAGGCTATGCATTGATTATCAGTTGGTGAATAGCCTAACACAACTGATGGTATACCCAATACCCTTGATCAACGATCTACTCGAAGATCTGGGGTCGAAACTTTGGTACTATTCTTTGGGCATGGCAAGCGGATTTTGGGTGGTAAAAATGACGGATCGTGCCCGCTTAATCTCAGCTTTTATCACGCCGTTCGGGCTATTTGAATGAAATCGAATGCCGTTTGGCCTGAAGAATGCGCCCCAGATCTATCAACGTATGATCGACAATGCGCTATATGGATTCACTCGGATCCCGAAGTCCGAAGATCACGGAGGTATTCTGGATGTGTTTGAGGACGGGGAACCAGTGGATCCAGGCAAGTCATCGGTGCTTGGGCGTAGATCATATATCGACGATATCCTGATACCGGCCAATAACTGGGGTCAACTATGTGATCGAGTCGAAAATCTACTCAAAGCGTGTGATGAGTGGAATTTGTCGATCAGTGTGGTTAAGAGCTTCTAGGGAATGCCTAAGGTGGAATATCTCGGACATAGGGTCCCACACAGTGGACTGGAGGCGAACCCGAAAGATCTGTCTGCATTGACTGATTAGCCTTTCCAGGATCACTCAGAGCTATGCAATCATTTTTGGGAAGTCTGAACTATTATAGCCGATTTATCGAAGACTACGCGATCTACGCGTCAGTTCTGTATGTATTGCGAGAAATCGACTTTGTGCGATGATGAGAGAGGCTACTCAAGCCCGGATCCAACAAGCGCTGGAAGCAGAGAACGTGGATCAAGGATCGCAGGAAGATCGGGATGTCGACCACCGAAGGACCTTGGATATGGAGGCACCCGACCCTACTGAGGTGGATCCGCGTTGGATCCATGCCCATCGGTC